TGATTTTTCTGGGTTAATGTAATGATTGAATGTAATAATGAACCAGTAGCTAATATAATGAATAAACCACCAATCCCTAATGTTCCTTTTCTCTCATATTCAACTAATTTTTGATCCTTTTCGAAAGATGTGTAAGAAGTAGAAACTGAAGAATTAGAAGTAGCAGAGATAGTAGATACTGAAACTTTGACAACATTTTGTCGAAGTTCAACAGTGAAACGCCATAATACTAATATTGAAGATGCTGTCTCAACAAATGATGCGATACCAAAAATTACTAAACTAACAGATCTTGTTTGTTGGCCAAAGATCATCGAAAATACACCTTCAGTTATGTTCGAAATAATTGTTATAATACTAACAACAATTACAAATTTAATTAATCGCGTTCGGTTGAATCTCATGAATTGGATTTGTGCCATGATTATTATTTACGCACACACGAGAGTAGAATAAATAGAATATATAATTTTTTATACTATTGATTTATTTTGTAAAGGGGGTTAATTGTTAAGATAATTACAAGTCGAGAATTTTAGAAAAGTTACGTGTGATGTCCATACGTTATAAATACGTGTAAAAAATTTGAAAGGTTCAAAATATCAATTTTTCATTAAAGACACTTTTCCCAAAAAATATACATTTTCTATTGCTAAGCCGTTTTTCATGATATCCAAGCAGGTAAATGCTAAAATTGTTGATATGTAAAAGTCATACTTGGCTTTTTGTTATCTGAAAACAAAAAGTAAATATGAGACTCACATTCTCACATCAAATTGTGACTTGAATGGCGCTTAGTCACAAAGAGTATATTCTTGGATAGAAGTGGCTTAGAATTAAACCTCTTTTAGTCGACTATCAAAGAGGCTTATTGTTATTTTTGCTGCTTTAAGACACAGTATGGTGAGAAAATTTCTTTTTTTTGCGCCAAATTATTACTTTAATACACTTATCACATGTACAACGTCATTGATTTTTTCGATTAAATGCCTGACTACAGGACTAAACAAAAATTTAGGCGCACATGACCACGAATGGTGATTTTTATGCAGTGATAAATAGTCAATTTCTACGTCCATATTTTTCTTATCATTGTCATTAACTTGCTAGAAGTTATATGCATGTACAAATACAGAAATATGTAATTAAATTATCCCGAGCGTTGGGTATTGAAGTTTCCGCTTGTGTGCATAGGGTATTTTTGCTAAATACTCCGTGATCTTGATATAGTGACCGGTATTTGCGCATATAATATATACTTTGCCAACCCTAAAATTTCCATTTATAAAAAAGAATAATCGAAATTTGCAATTATGTATAACTATAAGAATATATCATTTGTTTATTAGTTTGGTCAGAATTCGAGATTTGAGCGGCAAATATACGCGTCTACAAGTCGATGTAAATCACTCACTGAACCTTTTCTAATACAGTCAGACCTCCCTAAATGCATGGTCCTGCCTTAACTTATATGATACTTATAAATTTTACTTTTCTAAATGCAGGATTTTTTATAGGCCTTCGGCTATGCACTTAGAGAGGGTTGACTGTAGATCTTATTACCGTATTAAAGAGTATTAAAGAGTTTAAAAGATAATTTATTAGAACTGTTGAATAACGTGTCAAATGATTTACAAGCTGGAAATTATATGTAAATGTTCTTCAAAGTTAATAATACAATCTTAGATAAAAAGTAGATATATTTTTTATGCATCTAAGTATAAACTTGCAAATACATAATCCAATATTATAATACAAACTAACAAAAAATTTATTTGTAATAAAATGAATAAATAAAAAGACTGAGCTTTATGCATTGTTCTCTAATATTCCAAAGCTAAGTCAAGCTTTTTGCATTGCTCTTTAATATCTGAAAATAGGGAAAGTAAATGTAATTTATATTCACATATTTCTTCATAATCCCGATTTAAATAGTTTTGTCCATGAAAAGACCAATCTTTTAATTGATCATGAAGATCTCTTAATTGTTTCAGGGTGTCTGTTAGACGAGAAATTGTTGACTGAAGATCTGAGCGAACATACATACCACTTCCAATTGTTAGGCTGCCCGCAGCAGCAGCAGTAGCAATAGCTCCTACTTTGGCGTATTTCTAGTTAAAAAAAATAGTGGAATAATATTAGAAGAGCACACATAGAAGAAAAATTATAAGAAACAATACCTCAAATGATTTAGACTTGTCGTCTCTGGAATCATTATTAGAGCTCTTCGTGTAAGCGTATAATAAGCCCGTACCAACGGTAAATGCAAGAGTACTATAAATTTAAAAAATGGTATAGTAAATTATTCATTCAAACAATATGATAGTCAGAAAACTGTTTTTTTTTAGCGGTTTACCATGCACCAACAATTAATTTGGTAGTTAAACTTTGGTTTTGACCTTCCAAATTTTTGATTTGTTCGTCACATTTAATAGAAATATATTTTACAAGTTCCAATAGACTAATAGTGGCTTCACAAAATAATGATAAACGTCCTATGTTATAATTATAAGAGTGTTAATAGACGTGCATTAAGTTAAATGGAACTCAGTTAAATTAATATGCTATATCAGATATATACAGTAGTATATACTTTTTTTTTTTTTTTTTAGCATACATTACTTTTATACACATAAAATGATAATACCTTTTAATTTTGTATATTGCGCTTGTAAAATATTATCATCACCATCATCTAATTTAAGAATATTTAAGATATCCGAAACACAAATCTCCATATTTGAAGCCATATTTCGAAATTTTGGTTTTTCTTCTTCAAGAATAGCTTTAACACTTTGGTCTGCTGACTTGAGCTCTTGATAAGATTCATAGATTGAGTAGATAGTAACTTTAAGATTCCATAAAAAAATGACTAATCCAAGTTTGCAGTCTTTAGGCTGTTTTTTTAAATGATGGAAAAGTTAAAAAAAAAAGAGATAATAACAATTGAAACAAAAATATAAATGTATATATTATAAAATACTTACATAGACGCTACTAACTTGACTGTCGAAAAGATGAAATTCTAAAGTTTTAAACATGTAGCGAATCATAGTATCTTTGATTTGATCAGGACACAATAAATTATTATCATTACTTTCATAAGTTTCTTTATTATTTCCTAAAAAACAATGGACCAAATCTAATTGGCTAAAAAACTCGGATCTTAAATCATTTAAGCTCACGTTCATATTTCGTCTTCGAAATGTATCATAAAATAATTGATCAAAAATTTTATCAGAATAATTTTGACGTTTTAATTTCAAATCTTCTGATAAGGATTTTATATCCGCTCTTAATTTTTCTTCATCAATTATTTGATAATTTGAAACATCCAAATCTTCATCATTTTGTGGAGTTGTGGAAGATGAAAGTAGATTTTGGTCATTGATAGATGGAAATATTGTTTTTAGTGTCATAGAATCGGTCGCAAACCAGTCTAAAAGACCATTTTCTGAAAAATGCTTAAGGTTTGAAGCGGCATTCTGTAAAGCTTTAACCAAATCCAAATGGGTTTTATTGGTGAAATGAAATTTAACCTGAATATTTCATTAAAGTTGACTCTAAGAATTAGTGCAAAAATGTATTACATTTGTATCTATTAAATAAATAAAATTTTACCTTTGTTGATTCGCCAGTGTAATTAAATGTTTCGATACGAAAGTCTTTTTTGCCATCTGGGAAAATTACATCATATAAACTAATTTCATCAATTGGTCCCTATTGGTTTTTAAAAATTTAAAATTGTCATAAATAAATTCATTTAATGTATCATATTCATAATTACATACCTTTAACTTAAAGACTTTAAAGGAAGAAAAGAATGAACTTCCATTTTTTTTATGCGGTAAATTATTTTGTTCTACAAATACAATCTCTTTATCATGGACATACGCTAACGGTTGTGTCGACATGATGAATTTTTTAGTAAAAGTTCAGCTCAATTTTGCATTTACTGTATCATCGGGGAATTTATGAATTTATTTTCTGCACTAGGACATTGTGACCTGTAGAGTAACAATTATTCCTTATTTTGGAATCATTTAAGTACAGGGTGTAGTGTTTAAGCCAGCCGTTTTGGCCACTTTAAGCAGCTGATAGTTTTCTTAAACTGGTTAATATTTGAGTGTGGTCAAGGAAAAATACTTTGAACTCTGCCTCTTAAAAATGTGTTGAGAGTAGATTTCTAATCATTTCATGACATGATTTCAACAAGATTTTCTCTAAATTCCTATAATTTTAAAACATCATTTCGCATAATTTGCTGAACACATTGTACTGTACAGTACGATTAGAACCAATAGATTCGTATCCAGTAAATTCTTAGAAGTGGTTTAGAACATATAGTTTATGAAACTGATAAAAATTAGGAGTGCACGATCAATCGTGCGATGTCAAAATTTAAAGTCATAACAAGAAAAAAAATTTTTTTTCAGTTTTATCCGAGTCGGGTGATGATCATCGAATCGTTTTATAGCGTACGGCACGTCCGTAATCTGTGACAGGTTTTAGCTGTTTTCAAAATTCTGGAAAATGCAAAAATTGACCGACCGAATATAGATTCATTATATACTTATTTTCAAAAATAAGTAGAGGTACAAAATGTCCTATTCTGTTTTGAAATAGGAGTTATCCGGAAATAAAATTAGTAACTTTATTTTTTTTGACAATGTATTGTTACGTATCAAATGATATTATCGTAATAATTAATAAAGAACTATATACAAATTATCGTTTAAATTTTTTTAAAAATTTCTTAAATAATAATATTACATAATTTCGAATTAATAAAGAAATAATGATAGCACAAAAGTTTGGCGGTCCCGTGATTTTTATTCAATCCGATTGTAAGATCAATGGGTAACATACAAATGCGAAGTAAAAAAATAAAGGCGAAAAAAAAACAGAAATCACGAAAACTCATAAATCCGCAAGGGAAATTGGTCTTTGTTATTACGTAAAAGTTTTCAGCACAAAAATTTAGATATATACTTTGTATTAATGCAACCAATTTTTAGACGAAAATTAGGATATTGATTTAGTCACGGGACCGCTAAATTTTTGCACCATCATTGTTGTTATTGTATAAATAAGCAAGCATACAAATCAATAAATGCATCACTAATTTAATTCCACCTTTAATTCTATTACTGTAATCACAAGTTTATCACTGCAAAACAAAACTTATCGAACCTGTAGATATTCTGTCGGACAGTTTTTGCCAAATTTTCCAGAATTTATGAAAACAGCCGTAAGCCACTGATTTCAATCACCGTCCGACTATGCCTTAAATCATGATGAAAAAGCCATTGTAATTTGAAAAGGCTTATTATTACGAATTTGAATAAAAAAATGATTTGATCATATTTGAATATTTCTTTTTTTTTCGATTTTATAAATTAATTTTTTTTATATAAAATTAAAATTAAAAGTTTAAATAACCCTATCGACTTCTATTAAGACTTAAAAGAGAACAAATTTTTAATAAAGTTTACAAAAAAAAAATTTTTTTAATATGAAAGGTCTTTCAAATGCCTCGCAGGTTATATAAATTTGGATATATTTTAAAAAAAAAAACTTATAAATCGGAATTAAGAAATGGAAGAGGACGATATTTCCGGCATCACTTTATTTTTAGTTATTAATTCAAACTGTCGAAATTTTTTATGCCAACATTACGAATCGTGTTAGATAAACTCAAAGGTCAGTATAATGTAACAAAAATAAAATCTTCCGAATACTTTTCATGATTTTAGTCACGACTGTTCAATCAAAAGTGCTGCAAAAACATGAGTTCATGAATAAATAATATGGAAGAAAGAAGAATTCAACTCTCTTGAGTTATCTTCATTCAAAAAGGTAAAATTAAGTAAAAAAAGTATCATTTAAATAAGAATATGTTGAATAATTGAGCATGATTAAAGAAACGACATATTGATTGCTTTGCTTAAAGTAATTATAATATACTAGAGGAATATTTATGTGGTATTCGTTATTTTATTTTTAAAATTAAAAGTTTTTTATTGTTTTTATATAAATATTTGTTTAGTTAATATCAAAAGGCAACTTTTGAATTTATAAGTTTTTAAATTCTAACTTTAGGTATTTTACAGATTCGGTCGGAGCGTACGATATTACATACGGTTAACATGAACTTGTAAAATTCAGTTTTACGCGTAACCCTTTTTAATGGTTAAGGTTAGGGCAAGTGCGAATATTGTCCTTTTTTCGTGTTAGGTCACCTAGGGATTGAAAATTTTTATTAACCGTTTATAATAAACATAATTCGGCCCGGCACTATAAAAAATTTTTATGCGGTTAAACGGTTCCAATCCTAACTAAGTTAGGGTAAAGTCAGGTTATAGGAAAAAATAGCTATTGTATGTAATAAATAATTAATAAAATGTATAGAAATTAATGTCTTATCCTACCTAACAAGAAAAAAAATTTTTTACACGTCCATTCTAATTTGCGTTTCCGTACTGTGCTAGTTACCGGTATTACAAATAATCGTATAGCTAATATCATGAAAGACGTTGCGTAGGATATTAAAAAAGGAAAAGCGTATAG